CTTTCTTTCTTTCTTTCTTTTTCTTTCTTTCTTTTTTTTTCCAAGACTAGGTCTCTCTGTGTAGCCCTGGCTGTCACACTCACTCTACAAATCAGGCTGGCCTCAAATTCAGACATCTGCCTGCCTCTGCCTGCCAAATGCTGGAATGAAAGGCATGCACTAACCACCACCCAGCCCTATTTTTTAAAGAGCATTATAGAAGAGTATCCAACTACAGGAAGCCCTCTAGAAGTGGCAAGTCCTAGGGCCAAGAGAATTTGGCACACTCGTGTCACAACCATGGGCATGGTTCAACACAGCTGCTCCCACTCCTGCCCTGTCCCTCGGTCCTCAAAGAACTAGCAGGCAAGGGGAGTGGATCTTTGTGGCAAGGTTTCCAAGAACTGCCCCCTGTCAAAGTTACGCTGCAGGGCTCCCAACACCAAGTCCATCTCATCTGCTCTTCCACAATGGGCACCCCTTGTCCTAGGGCCGTGATACCTGCCAGAGGACCGAGAGGCAAGCTGTCAGGTTAGCAAACACCAGCCTGGGCTGGTGTATGGCTCAGTGGAAAATGCCTACCAAGTACAAGGCCCCAGGAATTACGCCCAACAGTGCAAAACAAAAACAAAAATAATCAGTAAGACCTTTTACCACACAGAAGAGCAATAAAACATGGCCACCAGGTGAGCGTTCCCCCACACTTGCTCCCTAGGGAGGACAGATCAGCCCATCTTTGGGAACACCCCAGAGGCAGTGTGTGGAAGTCAGAGACAAAGCTGAACAAAATCTTAAAGCTCTCCTGGTGGCAACACCATCTCACATGGAAGGGGGCAAGCCAAGGTCATACCACAACTAAGTCAGATGCCAGAGCTCCTCACCTGCCAACCATCTACCAGGACCAAGTTTACACAGGTATTACAGAGAATCAAGAGTTGATGCCCCACCAGAAGCCAACTGGATACCTCTCAGGGCACCTGACTGCCACTGTTGTTCAACAGTGGGGAGGAGAAGAGTACTTAGTTCCCAAGGAATGCAATACTGCCCACGCAAAGTAGATAGCCTCAGAGGTGAGGCTGTCAGATCGGAACAAACACAAGGCTTCCTATATAAGGAGCAGCCGAGCAGCAGACACCACATCCCCAGGCATTCCAGGTAGGCTCTCTCTGCTGTGTTTGTGTATGTGCATGCTCACAGTGTGTATGTGTGTATGTGTGTGCTCACAGGGGTCTAAATTACTCACTACTAGCCATTCACTTACTTTCTTACAAGAGAGCCTTGCTTCACTCAGCAGTCCTACCCTTCCTTCAAGAAGTTTGCTAGGTTCCAACCTGAGCAAAATCTAAGACAGGGAGATGAGGTATGCTACCAGAAGACCTTCTCTCCCCAGGGCCATCTGTCCCCACCATCAAGGCCATGCTGTCTTCAGGGACCATCTGCAGTCTGCTACTCCTGAGCGTGCTCTGGATGGATGTGGCCATGACAGGCTCCAGCTTCCTAAGCCCAGAGCACCAGAAAGCCCAGGTAAGTCCATCTCCACAAGCCCCACATCCATCCTGACCTGGGGTCTGTTCCAGCCCTATGACCAGCAGCAGTGGCTCCATCTTTCTGGGCTTCAAGCCTTCTCACAGCATAAAGGAAGCCTCTGGATGTGACCCAATTCTGCTTTTGGAATGATATGCAGATTTAAGACCCTAAAGAGAAAACCTCATCCAAGCATGGTAGTGCACACTGTAATCCCAACACTGGTAGATGAAGGCAGATGAGCCTCAAATTCAAGCCCAGCCTGGGACACATAGTGAGACTCTATTTCAAAAAAACTAAAACTAATTTTAAATTTTAAGAAAAATAAGCCGGTTGTGGTGGTGCATGCTGGTAGGATTTGCTGAAGGAGGTGGAGGCAGGAGGATCACAAGTTCAAGGCCAGCCTGGGCTACACATTTAGCTGGGCGGTGGTGGTACATACCTTTAATCCCAGCAATCTGGAGGCAGAGGCAGGCGGATATTTGTGAGTTCGAGGCCAGCCTGGTCTACAGAGCGAGTTCCAGGAAAGGCACAAAGCTACACAGAGAAACCCTCTCTTCGGGGGTAAAAAAAGAAAGAAAAAAAAAAAAGTGACCCTCTTCTCCTTTCTAGCAGAGAAAGGAATCCAAGAAGCCACCAGCCAAACTGCAGCCTCGATCTCTGGAAGGCTGGCTCCACCCAGAGGGCAGAGGACAGGCAGAAGGGACAGAGGAGGAACTGGAGATCAGGGTTGGTACCCAAGCACCAGTATGTTCTTATAGCAGTAAAGGGAGGGTTTTTTTGGTTGGGTTTTTTGAGAGGGGGGAGAGGCTGAGAGGGTGGGGGAGGTGGAATGTAAGCTAAATGCAGGGCTTTTCAAGCTACTCAAGAATTGGAGTCCAGCAACAACAGCTCCACAAAGGGTTTAGGGTCTCTGGCCCAAGAGCAAACTGTCCACAGGTTAACTATGCTGCAAGGGTAGCAAGGGAACAGCCACGAGCTGCAAAGATGTCAGCAGACTCCGGGGATGGGGGTGTCACAAAGAGCCAGGAAGCACAAACAGAGACAGAGACAGAAGAAGCCTTTGTCTATCCCAGGGGCCTCTCAGGCCTGCCCTGGTTATGGAGAGGTGAGTGGCCTGCTCACACCTGTGGCCTAATGAGTCAGTTTTGCTCTGAAAATTTTTACATAAGGTGAGGAAAAACCACAAACAGCTCAAGGATTGGGAGAAGAGAATAAAGGAACCCAGAGATGCCTCTCAGCAGCTCACCTTAGGATTCCCCTGAGAACTGTAAATAGCATTTGGCAATGTCAGTCCCTATACTGTGTGTCTACATGCATCTTCATCTTTAAACAGGGCATGATTACCTGAGCAGCAGGGGGCACAACCTAGGGCTTCACAAATGCTAGGCCTGTGCTCTGCCAAGGGTCACATCCACAGGCTGTTCTACTGTCATCATGGACCATTTACTCTCTACAAAACCCTAGATAAGTAAGATAAGTGAGGCTGGCATCATTTGCTAAACTTTGTAGATAAGAAACACAAGGTGAAAGGTGAACTCACTTACCCAAGGCTATCAGGTCAGGGTTTCCTTCCTCCATCTTCCTCTCTGATCAAGGGCAAATGCCAATGCCAAGATCACCAAACTCCTGGTCTCTGACCCTCTCTGGAGTCTGAGAATCTTCTCAAAACCTTGCTTCACAGGAAGTGAGACCCTTAAGACTAACTCCTCTGCCTCCTCAAGGTTCCTTCACTAACATGGCATGGACACAGTCTTGAGACAACCAGGTCCACACTGGGCAGGTGGCTACCCCAGCCACAAGAGCCCTGCACTTAGTTCTTATAGGGAAGAAATCTTAGCACAGGGCCAGGATTAACATTTCCTAGTTCCTATGATCCTCAACAGGAGCCAGACATCTGGCCTACATAGCAAGTACTAGGCACAAACAGATGGAGAGGCCTGTAGCATGCTAGGCACAGAGTATGACAACTGCCTACCCTCCCATTTGGGGCTCCATCTCACCAAAAAGGTTTTCTCCCCAAAATCAGATCTGTAGACAGAACACCAACTACCTCTACCACACTAAACAGATGGACCATGAATCAAGAAAGAAGAGGCTTTTCCAAGTTGTATGAGAACCAAATGCTGCCACCTCTCACATGCCCCTGACCATTCAGTCCTAGGGTGTCAGCTCCGGCAGGACCCCTATGGACGCGTGGTTTTCTTCCTTGATGGTTAGGTAATCTGACCAGCTTGCACAGACAACGGAATGTGAGAAGAAAATTTAGCATTTGCTGAAGATAAGGCTAGAAGGGCCCCAGGTCCCTAAAAGTCACAATACTCCCTATCTATGCTGCTCCCTATTCATATTTCCTGAGGCTGAAACAAAGTGAGGAATGGGCTACCATCCACCTGGTGCCTAGCAGCCTGATAGAGCCTGTGCCCATGCCAAGCAAGGACTTGGGACTAAGCAGATTTCTGAGTCCTGCTTTCTAAATCCTTGGCTACCACCTCTATCTGTGACACAGGGAGATCATCTCACTTCTGCCCTGAAGACAGGGAGAGTACCAGACCAGTTAGCACTCCCCTCTGGCTCTAAAATTATATTCACAGACCACTCAGATGGCCAATATAGCCAAGCTTCCTGGGGAGAGGTGGTGTTTTGGGCAGGGCAGGCAGAATGAGACCTCAGGACCTCCCAATCCTACCTCCTAGTTCAACGCTCCCTTTGACGTTGGTATCAAGCTGTCAGGAGCTCAGTACCAGCAGCATGGCCGGGCCCTGGGGAAGTTTCTTCAGGACATCCTCTGGGAAGAGGTCAAAGGTGAGTCAATCTGAAATGGAGCTTAATCTATTTTATGAGTGACATAAATTTTCTTCCCCAACCCACTCTCGAGCTTCAAATCTTTTTTTTTTTTTTTGAGTTTCTAATCTTCCTTACTACCTGTGGAAAAGAGTGCTGAGCTGGTATATGTGGGCAGCCCAGGAGGGCTGGAGCACCAGGTCCATCTCCAACAGCTCTGATCTAGAAACTAGTGTGTTAGCTAGCTGCTAGGCCCCATCTGAGGCTCAGTTTTTTTAACTGTGAGGTAGGGCTGATATACCTATTGCCAGCATTTCAGATTATCTGGCTTTGAAATATCTTTACAGTGCCACATCATGAAGGGAATCTGCCACAATGGTACTGAATGCTAGCAGACACATATCTTAAGTTTTGTTTTTGGTTTATTTTTTGTTTTTTTGAGACAGGGTTTCTCTGTGTAACAACCCTGGCTGTCCTGGAACTCACTTTGTAGACCAGACTGGCCTGGAAAACACAGAGATCCTCCTGCCTTAGTCTCCCAAGTGCTGGGATTAAAGGTGTGTGCTAACACGCCCGGCTATACCTTAGGTTTTTTGTGTAGTGATGGGATGAAACAGAAGCACACTATCACTGAGCTGCATCTATGGTTTTCAGTATCCCCTTACTTTGTGAAACAAATACCCAGCTTTTCCACACCTGAGGAAAACAAAAATTTCAAGAAGTTACATTCTTTCTCTAAGCACTTCCTCACAAATATGGAAGTCATACACACCTCACCACACAGATGAGGAAAGCTAGATTTGGGGATATAAGGACACTTACCCAAGAGTACATAGTCTACACTCAAATGCCATCTTCCAAGTCCAAGGCCAGTGATTCCCCACCCCGACCCCTACACACTTGCTCCCAGCATACCAGGATTAAGGAAAGCAAATTTGATGACACAAGCAAGATGGAGAACCTGAAGACTGACTTGACCTCTTGGTTTTTCAGAAGCACCAGCTGACAAGTAACTACTGACAGGACTGGCTCTCTGTGATTTCCTCCTGAGCAAGAACTCACACCCAGTCTTAGCCTCCTCTGCAACTCCCCGCACTCTCCTACTGCCTTAAGAATAAATGCTCAAGCTGTGTGCCAAATGTTCAAAATAATTTTTTTCATCGACATGGTAAAGTTCACATTTTACTTAAAAATTATTGAAACAATGAAATAAAAAAATGCTTTAAGTTTATGACCCATGAGAAAAGAAAAACAAACCTACAGCAAGGCAGGAGCATGCTTGAAACCCAAAGGAAACCTTACTCATTCCAGCAGTAAAACAGCAGGAGGCATGTAAGACAGCAGGTTCCAAAGGTGGGGGTTAGAGGCCACACACACAGTTTATTTCATAGCAGAGCTTCCTGAGTAATTAAGAGCTACACTAGGAGTTTCCAAAGAGCCACCAATGGCTGCATTCATAAAGATACCAGTTGACAGTATCACAATCAACACACTCAAGACCTGTCTGGGGTGATCAGAATGGGTGCTTGGCAATGGCTCTCGGACCATACCAGAGCCCTGCGTGATAACCACATTCTCCAGTAAATGTCCCATGTGCTCAAGGCTGGCCACCACCTGATACCAGGCAGATGTCCCAAAATATTTCCCAAATTGCAGCTCACAGCTCATGAGCCTTGATCCCCAAGTCCTACTGCTGTATTCCAGTTGAGACACCTTAGTGAAAATTTTTAGACCATGTCCCAAAGCCCAGTGATATTAGATGAGACCTATAACTAAAGCAAAAGCTCAGAGACCAGCTCTCCAAATTCCTTGTGCAGCCCACTGAGCACTTAGGATAAATAGGGAGGAAACCCGGTGGTGCCCAGCCAAGGTAACATTGCTATAGCAGGAACCATGTACCTCCTCAAGGGAAGCCTTGGTCACCCAGAACCCAAGGCCCGAGATGACCAGGGAGGCACACTTGACAGGCACTGTGAAATCTAAACACATTCCTGCCAAGGAGCTGTGATGCTCCTCAACATTATCATATGGGAACTCCTTACAAATGCTCAGCCTCACTCCAGCCCTTCTCCAGAGAACCCTTTAACAAAGCCTCCAAGGAGTCAGCATGGTGGTGCACACCTTTAACCCCAGTACTCAGGAAGCAGAGGCAGGCAGATCTCTTTAGTTTGAGGCTAGACTGGTTCCAGGACAGCCAGGGATGTTACACAGGGAAACACTGTCTCGAAAAACCAAACAACAACAACAAAAAAAAAACAAAAAAACAAGCTATGACTTGCTTAGAAGTCCCAGGATCCTGTTCAAACAACACAGCACACAGAGCCAGGTAGCTATGGGGTCCTTTGCAAAACTGGAAACAAGGAGATACATAGATGTCCACTGTGCTGCTCAGTTTTTTTCAACCTGACAAAGCTATTAATCATCTGGGAAGAAGGACCTCAACTGAGAAAATGCCTACATTAGATTTCTTATGAAGCAAGTCAGTGGGGCATTTTCTTGGTTAATGATTAATGTGGGAAGGCTTAGCCCACCTCGAGCAGTGCCACCTCTAGGCAGGTGGTCCTGGGTTATAAGAAAGCAGGCTGAATAAGCAGGAAGAAACAAGCCAGTAAGCAGTATTCCTCCATGTCTCTGCTTGAGTTCCTGTCCTGGCTTCTCTCAGTGATTGACTGTAACCTGTGAGCTAAAAGAAAAGAAACCTCCCCTCTCCCCTCAAGTTGCTTTTGGTCAAGGTGTTTTACCCTAGCAATAGAAAAGCTAATGCATTCAGCTTCTCTCATTTTCCCTCCCGTCTTTGCAGCGCTCACTGGTATCAATTAGGTAGAGCCCTAAGACATGCAACAGCACCAATGTCTTGCTGACCTTTCTACCAACAGCACCTGTCTCTAGACCTCAGAACAGCACAAGCAGTAAGATTTTTGTCACAAGTGACCACTGTAACATACTGGAGAGCAGAAATGAGGGAAAAGAGACTTAGCAAATGGAGGTAAAGAAATTGAGTGGAACAGTTGTTGCTCACAGTTCCTCAGCAAAAATGAATACTTACTTCTCTTTCTCCGGCCAGTGCCCTGCTGTCATTCCTTTAAGGAGCAGATGCTGAGCACACTCTGGCCACTCTACTTACCAGGTGGTTCAGTGTGGGTGTGGGGTGACTATGAATACCAGCTGTACAATCCACATCAAGAACCTGCACTTCCCTGGCTCTTCCTTGCCGAGGTCACTGCAAAACTTAACCCAGCATCTGGCACAAGGGTGCCCAGAGAACAGGCACACAGTTGTCCTAATAGCTACTACTCCATGATCCTACTGTGTACATTCAAACAGATGAGTTTAATTTCTGTTCATTTTCATAGCAAGTCTACTTATGAGAGAATTCACAGAAATAAAGTAACTCTCTCAAAGTCACACAACAAACACCTGAAGACATAACCAGAGCCTCACACATGAGGTATGTGGTTTTTCCATCTTAACTCTGCTCTATTGGCCCAACTGCAAGGATCCAGGATTTCATAAGCATTTTCAGTGCTGGGGTAAGCCCAGGCAGGGCCTGTGTATGCTAAACAAGCACTCTACCAGGAGCTATGCCCCTCCTTTTGTTTTTCACTGTCCTTGACAATTCATCAAGTGAACCTAATGTGGAAAGGACAATTTCAAGTTAACAACTGGCAGAAATACAATATATCCAAGCACATGATTAGGATACACAGTACCAAGAAAATACATCTTTCTAAACATGTTCCTACAGCAGTTTTTTTTTTTCTTTCTTTGTTCATGGTTGTTTTGTTTCCTTGCTAAGTCATGCCTGGCTGGTGGCTTTGAACTGTCAACCCTCCAGCCTCTGCCTCCCAAATGCTGGGACCATGGTCAGTTTTCTCTTTTTGGGGGGGAGGTGGGTTTTTAAGACAGGTGTAGCCCTGGCTGTCCTGGAACTCACTCTGTAGACCAGGCTGGCCTCGAAATCAGAGATCCGCCTGCCTCTGCCTCCTGAGTGCTGGGTCAGTTTTCTTAAGCCCACTCCTTCATGCATTATTTAATGACTCCACTAACTTAAGGGTCCCTGGAGCAGGGAACGAGGCATTTTCAAGAGGAAAAAAAAATCTCCTGTAGGAGAAAACCATTTTACAATTAGCATAACAGCCCATGTATCTATCTCACTTACTATCTCACTTACTTAAAGCTACATGCTCAAAATGTCTTAACAAGCACCAAAGGAGAGAAGCCAAACATACACACAATATCGTCCCCCTCCCTAAATCTGAACACTCAAACAGCAGAGACAAACAGCCAAAGGGACCAAGTGGAGCCAGCCAATACCAATTATCATCCCTGACAGTTTGTCTTGAAATATGCCAGTGGCCAGCTGCCCTTATAAAACAAAATGAAAGTGCTGAGATTAAACGGTTAAGTATCAAGCCCCAAAATCAATGCAAAATGATGGAAACACCAGAAGAGCCGCAGAAGAAAGGGACAACTACCAGATCCAGACAGGAAAGAAGACGAAGTCAGGGAACCTGCTACAAGTTTGTGATCAATAACCCATGACTATCACCTGACCATGTGTGCAGACACAGGGGGAAGGGAGTCCGCCTCTCTCACATATCACCTTCATTTCCAGCCTAAACAAAGAGTAGGGTGCAGTTCCATGGTAGAGAACCCATCAGCCCAAGCAAGGAAGGATCTGGGTCAACCCCCAGCACTACAAACCCAGAAAAGCCTCCACACACACACAAACACACACACACACACACACACACACACACACACACACACACACACAAAAAAAAAAAAAAAAAAAAAAAAAAAAAAAACCTTACTTAATAGGGGCTGGATACAATTTATTGGTTAAGTGCACTGGCTGCACTTCCACAGGACCTGGTTCAATTTCCAGCACCAACATGGCAGCTGAGTCCCAGGAGATCCAACACCCTCTTCTGGCCTTCATGGGCACCAGGCACATAGGTGTTACACAAAGATACATGCAGGCAAAACACCCATACAGATAAAATAAAAAAAATCTTCAACACCATAAAATAAGATGACTGACTGCAAATAGTCAGACAGTTCCCCCCAGTTTACCTGGAGACAGAGTTCAGAGCCCAAAACACACACAACTAACTCATCACCACCCCCATGAGGGAGATCATTGAGTCTATTCTGAGAATAAAGATAAATAACAGGATAAATGGGTAGATCACTGAATCTACTATAAAAAGAAAAATGGGGAAGATATAAAAACGACAAAAGGTAGATTATTGAATCTATTATAAAAAGAAAAATGAGAATATGGATATGATAAGATAAAAAGGGAGATTATGGAATCTACTTTTAAAAGGGAACTACTTGTTTTAAATAAGATAGGTAATGAAATTTTGTCTGAGTTTATCAAATGTTACTGGACTGGACATGGTTATATATTAATGGAGTTTTTTGTCTGAATCTGTCAAATGTTAATGGACCAGACATCATTAACATAATCTTGACTGTGTATATTGTATATACTTACTGGATATAATTTTTCTTGTATTAGTTATAAGCTTTTTTAATTTTAGACAAAAAAAGGGAAAATGTGGTGGTATTGTGTTCCCCAAAATATTGTGCATGCTAATAAACTTATCTGGGGACAGCCACAATATTAAATATAGAGGATAGGCAGTGGTAGCATGTGCCTTTAATCCTAGCATTCCAGAGGCAGAAATCCCTCTGAATCTCTGTGAGTTCAAGGCCACATTGGAAACAGCATGGTGACTCACGCCTTTAACCCCAGAAAGTGAGCCTTTAATCCCAGCGAGTGAGGCAGAAAGCAGAAAGATATATAAGGCGTGAGGACCAGAAACTAGAAGCTTTTAGCTGGTTAAGCTTCAGGCTCTCAAGCAGTTCAGCTGAGAGCCATTGGGATGAGGACACAGAGGCTTCCAGTCTGACGAAACAGGATCAGCCGAGGAACTGTCAAGGTGAGGAAGCTGTGGCTTGTTCTGCTTCTCTGATCTTCCAGTATTCACCCCAATAACTGGCC